CACCTGTGAGGCCAGATGATGTGCAAAGGTCTTTGCTGACAGTCCGGTCCACTCAGGAGATTACAAGGGTTAAAAGTCATATGTTGCTTATCTTCTTCTTGACAAGGTTCTTCTTGATTTGTACTTTCTGATGCTTTAGACTTATTCACTTTCTCTAGTGATATTAATGGGTGTTGTGGTCGGTCTTGTTGTGTGGTACAAAGTCCAGATTGTGCTTCATAAAGTCCAGATTCAGGACCTGAGTTGCTGTTTTCCATTAAACTCCCAGGGGCTCTATACTTCTGTTGGAAAGGCAGACTCCTAAATAGATAAGTATCTCCATTTCTTTTAACATCGGTTATCTTCTCCAAATGGGCCAGTTTATGCTCCGGCATGAATCTATTATATATAAAAAAAGAAAATTCCTATACTGTTTTTACAATGTATACAGATAATTTCAGTTGACACTTTTTAATTAATTAGTTACAAATGAAAAGAGAGGATGGTCAGCATTTTTGATCCTGGGAATAACTGCACAGGGATTTAGTAAGTGTGACATTTTTCATATGTTAGCAAATATAATGCTTGTGAAAGGTGGCAGACCCACAGGTCTAGAACCTGAATGCTTCTATTAAGCCAGAGTACAACTATAGCACAGACATTGACAACAGGATCCCACACAACTTGCAGATCATTTTCTTCCAATCTGAAATGGAAGAAAAGTTTTAAAGAAGTAAGAAGGCAGTTCTGTCTCCATAGCCATTAACTGTTTGGTCTTTTGCAGATGCTACAGTAACATTGCTAATGAGAGCCAAATCCTTTGGTTGATTTACTATCATGTGAATACCTGCCTCTTTCAACAGTAAGTCGACAGAATGCGGCAGTTTTGTCGACGGCAGTAACTTCTTTCTACGAAGAATAACGCCTTTTTTCGACAGAGTTATGTTGAAAAAAGGCGCTATTGCATCCATACTGTGCTTTTTCAAAAGAGACTGTCTAGACTCCGTCAAAAAAGTGGCTTGCTTTGTTGACAGAACTGGCTATAGTCTAGACGTGCTTTGTCAACAGAGGCTTTGTCGACAGTATCTGTCGACAAAGCCTATGTCAACAAAAGCCTGTAGTCTAGACATACCCACAGAGACTAGACTGAGACCAGGAAATCATTTCTTATAGGTCAAAGAGCAGCTGCCTACGTCAGCTTTCATTCACTAATAACCTGGGCTACATTTGAACCTGTGGCATGAAAGTGAAAGCCATTACCCATCATCTGAGCCAAATGTTAAATGTATGATCAGAAAATATTTAACAAATAAGTTAAAAAAATTGGATTCAGTTTTGCTTTTGGTGTATAACATAAGGTAGGCTGAAATATGCTTAATATTTTACCTGACTGACATCTAAAATAACAGGTCTTTCTTACCACTACGGAAGGTACAGATATCTATTCCCATGCATGTAAAATGAGTGGGGCCTAGCAACAAGATACCTATTGAGTTAGAAAATTATGTTTGGAACACTGCATATTAGTAAACAATGTATACCCCTCCATCTGCAATGTTCATGCTGACTCTCTGTAGCAGCACTAGACAAAGGCCAGGTTTGCCTACTGCCCTATAAACCTGGCACTCAGAAGCACAGAACCTATCTAAAGCACACGCTATAAGATCCACTCTCAACCTGGAGGCATCTGACCTGGCTCTCCCTATTAGGCAGCGGGTCAGAGTAATCACCATGTTTTCATTTAAAGTTAAGAAAACTGAAGTAGAGAGATTAAGTGATTTTTCCAAGGTCACAAAGTCAGTCTCACAATTCAGGACTTCCTCACTTCTAGTCATACGTTCAAACTAGACCTCTAGTTGCCTGCTGAAAGCCTCTTAACAACAGGCTACATTTTAATAGAGTTATATGCAGGAAGTAGTGCTCACTTAGTACTATTTTAAGTGTGACATTTTATGCTGTGTAATTTTGATATTTGTTTTTTAAGTAGTTGTGAATTATGGGCCATCATCAGCAAATGCAGAGAGGGAAAAACCACTTCATTCAATCAGTTTGTCTCTTTTAAGACCATTATCAAATTGACTGCACAGCTCTGTCATTGGGTCCGGCAAAGTCTTCTCTTTCATAAATATATATCTGTATCTTAAGGTTAGTTACTTAAACATTATTTGTTTCTGTGGCCTTCTTTGGAAACACATTTCATGTGGTTAGTACTATTTAAGATAAATATGTCTGAATTCCAAGTTTCCTTTAATTCATAAATGTTTAGATTGTTTAGCCTGGTTATTGAACTGTTTTACCAGAAAAAAAATGTTCAATTTTACCATCTCCTTCCACAATTCTTCATACTTTTACTCAATCACACTGAAACCTTCATTTCTGAATTGAGAATAAACTACTTTTTAAATCTTTTGTCAAAACAAATATTCTTAAACCCTCAACTCATCCATGTTACCTTACAATGCAGTCTCTATAAAGGCAAATAAATTACCCTGAAATTATACTAAAATTCTACCCACACTGCTCTCACACTTGACTAATTCCTTTGAGGATTTGTCTGAAATAACCCATAATTTGTTTTCATCATCAGTACGCTGCATAACTACTCTTTTTAATCTGTACTCTATTTTGTGTTGTTACTCTCCAAACATATAAAACAGCTACTTATCTTCATATCTGTTGTTCTATGACATGTGTTGCTCATGTCCATTCCACTTAGGTGTGCATGTGCCGTGTGCACAGATTGTCGGAGATTTTTCCCTCAACGATACCCATCAGGCCAGCAGGGGAGCCCCCTAGAGTGGCTCTGCCATAGCAGTGCACATATAACCCTTCTGGCCCTCGACCCCCTCAGTTCCTTCTTGCCGGAATCCTCCAATACAGGGGAGGTGGGTGGGATGTGGAATGGACATAAGCAACACATCTCAAAGAACAACAGTAAGGTAAATACTTCTTTGGGAGCTTACTCATGTCCATTCCACTTAGGTAACTCCAAAACCAAACCCTAGGAGGCAGGGTTGGAGCCTATAGAGAGACAGACTGCAACACAGCCCTCCTCACTGCCACATTCTCCCTGGTCTGCTGTGCTATGGCATAGTGACTCGCAAATATGTGCACAGACAACCATTTGGCCACCCTACAGATCTTCACAATGGACACCTGAGCAATGAAGGTGGTGGAAGATGCTTGAGCCCTGGTTGAATGGGCTGTGATAGGTGGGGCTGGAATCTACACCAGCTCAGAACACACCTTACTACAGAAGGTGATCCAAGATGAAATAGGATGAAGGGTCTGCCAGCGTCAGCCCATCATGTCTGCTATGGACACAAACAGTTGTGGGGACTTACAGAAGGGTTTAGTCTTTTCTAAATAAAAACCTAAAGCACGCCTAACATCTAAAGAGTGTAGAGCCTGTTCTGTTCTAGAACCATGAGGTTTCGGGTAAAAAACAGGTAGAAAAATGTCCTGATTAACATGAAAGTGTGATGCCACCCTGAGCAGGAAGGTGGGGTGGGGGCCAAAGCCTGACCTTATCCTTAAAAAAGACTGTGTACAAAGGCACCATGGTTAGGGCTCGCAGTTCCAACACTCTCCGGGCAGAGGTAATAGATACAAGAAAGGACACTTTCCAGGACAGGTACAGAAGGGAGCACATCACCAACGGCTCAAAAGGGGGGCCCATGAGCTTCGAGAGGACCAGATTCAGGTCCCATGGGAGCAAGGGCTCAACCACATGGGAGTAAACCCTATCCAATACCTTAAGGAAATGGTGGACTATAGGGTCCATTTTACCTACCCTGCAACCCTGAATGTAAGGCCAAGATGGCTACCAGGTGCACCTGTACTGAAGGCGCCAAACCGTGGAGTCTGAGATCCAGGAGATAATCCAAAATAACCAGCACAGGGCCTCTATAGGGGAGAACTCCTTACCCCAGAAAAGAAAGTGCTTCACCTTTGCCAGGTAAGAAGCTCTTCTGGAAAATGTACAGGTCCCCAAGAGAACTGCCTGGACTCGTTCCGAGCACTGCCTCTCGGTGGCTGTCAACCACAGAGTTTTCATGCCAAGAGGTGCAGGGAGCGGAGGGGC